AATTTTCATCGTCTTTGGCAATTTACAATAATAAATATAACTCGATAACGAATATACATATAACGTTGACGTAATATTTACAACTTTGCGTCTAATTAAGTACTTGTCTAACATGTTGATCATCATTCGTAACATGAAATTGGTTTCGAGACAGTATGGGGCTATTGGATTTTCGGTCAACATCGATAAATGCTTGGCGAACCCAAAACCAATATGATCGTTAATTAGCACATGTGTATGAATTTTCTAACAAAGATGATTAATCAATGAAAGCAGTATCATTTTTTGTTTTTTCCTTTTTTACTTCGCATAACATACTTGTACGATATATTTATCTTTCTCTTTTCTCTCTCTCTCTCTCTCTCTCTCTCTCTCTCTCTCTCTCTCTCTCTCTCTCTCTGCAATTCACTTTTTATTTATCACTTTCTATCTCTTTCTCTCTTTGAGTAATTTAATACTTCAGAGTTTATTCAACTGTTACAAACTCATGACTTCAAACATTTCATACATATAAAAAACTTTTCGTTAAACAACTTCATCTTTATCTTATTCTATTTCTTTCTCTTATTCTCTTTCACTTTCTTTATTTCTCTCACGGATTCGTATCTCATTCTAACGTATAAAACGAACAATTCTCTCTTGCATCAATGAGATCGCATTAGCATATGGTCGGATCATAAGTAAGGTTATAGCATTCGCGGAATTCAGCTGTCTAACTATTTTGTTACACGTTGTCTCATCACCATTCACCATCTCTGTATGCTTCGTTCATTTCAGTCTTTCACATTTCTCTCTCTCTCTCTCTCTACGTCTATGTCTATCTATGTATATCTACATCTGTCCCTCTCTCTCTCTCTCTCTCTCTCTCTCTCTCTCTTTCCTCATCCTTTGTCCCATCTCCTTTCCTCCCTTTCGTCGTGCTTTCCAGCAAGCCACAGGATCGTAAAAGGCTGGAATTTCTGTTGAAACATCTGCAAAGCCGCGCTCTGGGGCATCTGAGCCCCTCTAAAGCTTCATACAAATTCATGACGGAGTACCCTGACCCTCTCTGTCTCTCTCTCACTCACTCACTCACTCACTCACTCACTCACTCACTCATTCATTCACTCACTCGCTCACTCACTCTCTCTCTCTTTCTTTCTCTTTCTCTCTATCTCTGTTTCTATCTCTCTAACATACACTCATACAGTCATACCTCTGATATACCTCCAAGTTTTCGGCAGATACGCGTATACATAGGACCCATACGTATTTCTCCATGTTAGTTCGTAATATTATTTAAAGCTCCGCTTCTCTCTTTGTCTCTCTCTCTCTCTCTCTCTCTCTCTCTTTCTCTCTCTTTATCTCTATCTATCTTTCTCTATCACCCTCTATGGAAATCAACCTACCCTCTAAAACACCTAGGATTAATAGTTTTCTCAAAAATAATGTCGCTTGATGTTATACGTTTGATACTACTTTGTTTGTTCTTGTTTCTTACTTGTAACTTGTTTCTTGTTTCATACGTATGTACATACCTTACAATGTTTAAATATTTAGATATATGTATATATATGTATATATATATATATATTGCTCGTTCTAATATTTAGATATATATATATATATATCATAACTACGTTAATGACTTATAATCGTTTCGTTTATGGATGAACTCGTTAACATGAAGATCACTAATCCGTGACATTTAATCGTGATTTTCATTTTGTAAATCTCGTAGAATCGAAGATTGTGGACTTTCTTACATAATCAGGGATTCTGGATAAGAGGGAAAGAAAAGCGATCGAAGAAACGTGGATTTAGTAGGATCTATCTCTTTCTCTGTCTATCTATCTGTACGTCTATCTATCTGTCCTTTTTCTTTCTTTACAGAATGACGAAGTAATCTTCTAGAATCACAGAACATTAAAAGCGCCACTGATCTGCCTCCATTTCTTTCGATTCCCAAGACTAACATTCATTCGATTCTACAGTGCTCCACCCGATGTAATTTTCTTTCAATGACGTTCACTAGCTTTTTTTTTCTTTCTTTCTTTCTTTCTTTCTTTCTTTCTTTCTTTCTTTTTCATGAAAGAATGTGAAAGAGAGAGAGAGAGAGAGAGAGAGAGAGAGAGAAAGAGAGAGAGAGGGAGAGTTTCTCGTTGATTGGGATCCGTTCAATGTTATTATTCTTTCGATTCAAGGTTTGATATAACGAATCTCGATTATTTCTGATCGCTCGGATGAAATATTCCTTTCTTAATTCTCTCTCATAGAACTTTGTCGATTATAAATATTGTTCGTGATCGATAACGAAACCGATCGAATCCGAACCTTTCTTGATTTGCATCATCACTGAAGAGAAATCGCGTTATTTAAACGCTTGGCGTTCTTCGTAGAGAGTAGGACACCGGAATACATTAATATTGGATGAGGGAATCTCGAAATGAGCTCGTATCGAGAGTCGATACGGTCGTTATCAAAAACTCGTTACCAATATTTTATCCTCGATATTACTCTAGTAAACTACAGAGACACGTGTGTTATATACTCACAATCTCCTCTCTCCTCATCCACCCACCACCCACAAATACACCCATTCCCATTCTGACACCCCGACCCCGATCCCGACGAACCCCTCCTTTCTCTCCTTTTGCATTTTCTTATCCCGATCGACATCGATGGTTTATAACCATTACATCTATTACAAAATATCGCCTCTTCTTGTGTAACGTTTTAACATTTTTTTTTTCTTTTTCGTTATTATTTGTTTGCAATTGTAATTAATAAATATTCATTATAATGTACTGATCTATCAAAAGAAAAAATTTATATATATATATATAATATATAAAAAAAGTTAAACCGATGATTACGTTAATAAAACGTATATAATATTTCATGGTTTCCTTCGAATTTATTAATAATAATAATCAATCGTTTAACTCGTTATCAATGACAATTTAATTAAATATCGGCTCGGTGCTATATTGATTATGCTTTATTATTCCAATTAATTCTAAGGATCAATCAGTCGTTCCTGATCAACGAAAAATCCTTTGTGACAGGCTTATTATATCAAACATTTAATTATTGTGACACTACAACCAAAGCCGGGATTTGATAATGGCATTGACACGAGGTAGACGTTAAATTGATTATTTCTTATAAAAAAAAAAAAAAAAAAAAAAAAAAAAAAAAATTAACTCTCGAATTCATCACTTAAAAATATAATTTATCTTTAAATAATATCTCTAAATTATTAATCTTTTTTTTTTCTTTTTTTTTTTTTTTTTTTTTTTTTTTCATCATTTTACACGATATACATACGTACGTATACCAAACGTTCATGATATAATAATTTATTTATCTTTTTTCTTTTTCATTATAATATCTTTCTTCCTTGTTTAACTTGTACAATTTTTCTTTTTAATTTTCGATTATATAAAGTAGAAAAAAAAAACTTTTATCCGTGATATAATGAAAAATTATATTATCCAATAAACTATCTCTAATATAACATACAACACTTTGTTATTATTTTTTCTTTTTTGTTTTTGTGTGTTTTTTTTTTGTGATTTTCTTTTTGATTTCTTTTTTCTTTTTTCTTTTTTTTTTTTTTTTTTTTTCTTTTTACGTTCATAACGAGACTCAAATGTATTAAGTTAATGAAATTTCGCTTGGAACTTTCGTGCAAATGTTTCGGCTCGTAATTCGCATATTAGCTCTTTATGAGGTCATACGAAAAGAGAAAAAAAAAAGGAAAAAAAAAAGAGAGAGAGAGAGAGAGAGAGAGAGAGAGAGAGAAAGAGAAAGAAGGAAAAAAATATACATGAAAAGCTTCGTTTCACGAGTTATCGCAATATCGATCATTCCACGAGCAACCGCAAACAGTTTCGTCTAACTACTTCCACTGCCGCTACCTATTGCTACTCGTCACTCTAACGAGTGTGTTCTACTTATCTCTCTGTCTCTCTCTCTCTCTCTATCTCTCTCTCGCTCTTTTTCTTATTGTTACTTTGCTTCCTCAAGATCGTAAGAAGGCAGAGAAAGTTTCCTCGTAAATCGTCCCTTGATGCAGTACCGGCACGAAGCCGATTTATTTGACGTTCCTCCTACCCCTTTCACCACTAATGAACCTAAAATGGTGATCACGCGACCATTTTGTACTCGTTTCATAGAAGTCATTACATCTAGCTTTTTAAAACACGTAAAATTGCTCAATAAAATAATTCGCAATAAATTATTGAAGGGAAAAAAAATAATTGTCTTATCGTCAATGATAAAATAAATATTTGTCAGGTCGATTAGTTGTTAAAGTTTAAAATCAAATATTTTCTATCATTTTTATTTTTATTATTATTATGATTATTATTATTATTATTGTTGTTGTTGTTGTTGTTGTTGTTGTTGTTGTTGTTGTTGTTGTTGTTGTTGTTGTTGTTGTTGTTGTTCTTATTATTATTATTATTATTATTATTATTATTATTATTATTATTATTATTATTATTATTATTATTATTATTATTATTATTATTATTATTATTATTATTATTATTATTATTATTATTATTATTATTATTATTATTATAAGAATAATAAAAATGTAATATTATTTTTATATATAGTTTTAACATAATTATATAAATATATTATTTTGTACTTTTTGAATAATAGAAATTAAATCGTCTGATAAGGAATATGAAAGTATTATATGTATTATAACATTAATATATATAATATTTCTATAATACTTATAGTATATTATACGTAATATACTACATTATAAAGAAAGAGAGAGAGAGAGAGAAAGAGAGAGAGAGAGAGAAATAAAGCATATTAATATAAATTATTATAATATATTGAAATACTATAATATCGTACAATGTAAATATTAGTATTATAACATATTACAAATAATTAATAATTAATATATATATATATATATATATATATATATAATAGTAAATTATTTCGACAATATTTTATTATTGTTTTGTTATTAATAATATGGTTAATTTTATAATAAAAATTTTTATTTTGCAATTTTGTAATGGCCTATATTTACATACTCGATCGTATATACCTACAAACGATTCAAACCAATATCTATATCTGATTTTAGTACCCAAGTACGATGGCGAGCAATTAAATTTGACGAGGATTACACGCAATGAAATGGGATCATATCTATGTATCGCAACCAATGGCGTCCCACCAACGGTTAGCAAAAGGATTACTGTTGATGTTGAATGTAAGTCGATGATTCGATAAATATATATATATATATATATATATATATATATATATATATATATGAGCCGTTTATTTTGAAAGTGGCCCAACTCCATTTGTCAATTTTTTTCCGGTTGCTATAATTACATGTACAACTTTATCTTATTTATCAGTAAAGCATTTCAGGTTGCTTATATTCCGAGCAAATACGATAATTCTTGACACATAAGTTTTCAGAGTTAGTTCAATAATTTAACCGTTTATTTTGAAAGTAACCTAACTCCATTTATACTTAAATCAATGAATGAAAATTTTAAAGTCCTGAATTTATTATCACGTCGGGGTAGACCAAGAAAGTTCGAAAATATTGTATTGCCACCACTGCATAAAAATATCAGACAAATTAGAACAGCAAAATTCAAGGACATAATTGACCTATTACGATATATATCACTGGAACATCATGATTTCTTCAAATCCCTTTCACACATACAAAATCTAGATGAGTAGTAAATTGTTTTGTAATAAATTTATGTTTGTAATTTTGTACGTTATGTAGTTAAAAAATGTTTTGAATCGCATAAATTATGTTTTCGAAGTGTTTTAAAGATATGTAAAATAAATTGAGTATTGTTTTTTTCAATTTGAAGCATCTTAAATTATGTTGAATGGATTTGGGCACCTTCAAATTTTATAATGAATCTAATTGTTAATTTTGAAAGTGTCCTAACTCCATTCTTGATAAGAAAATGCATATTATTCACTTAATAATTGTCACTATTTTAATAGAAACTATAAATTTAACACCCTTAGATACACTTAAGTAGTATGACTCATTAGTATCCTATACGTATATTTTTAAATTCATTGAAACGCAAACCCTTAAATATCTCGATTTGAAGATAAATGGAGTTAGGCCACTTTCAAAATAAACGACTCATATATATATTGTATATTACGATATGTTATCTCAAATATGATAATGATTTTAAAATAATTCCAATTGAAAATAATCAATAGAAAAAGATTTACTATACAAATTTTATACTATCGATAGGAAAAAGAGAAAAAAAGAAAAAAAAAAAACGTTTAAAGAATTTAAATCAATATATGTGATCTTTACAAAATGATTTATAATTAAAATTTAATCAAGAAATTATCTGATCGATCGGTTGACTCATATATATATATATATATATACATATATAATTTTTATCATAACAACATTCCAATCAAATTATTATTGCAGGATCATGAATATTAGATATTATCATCAAAGTTATTGATCATTATTATTTTCAATAATTCAATGTAAGAATGTAAAGTGATAATTAAAACTGGTACAATAGTATTCGACCTATAGTTTATCGCTTTCTTTTTTTTTTTCTTTTTTTTTTTACACTCTCCGATATCAATCTACTTCCGATATCCCTATGAAGAGAAGCAACGATCCTGCAATAAGGAGAGTTGGTGCAATTCAATGGAAAAACTTGATCGAAAGAAGTTTCTTTTCTTGGTTATCACACCTACACACACACACACACACATACACAGAGAGAGAGAGAGAGAGAGAGAGAGAGAGACAAACTAAAAAGTCCTGAGCATTAAGGGAAAAGAATGGAAAAATAAGGAAAAGATCTCGAATGGCAGACAATGAAAAGGAATGCATCGAATGTGAATGCTTGACGTGAGATACGATGGGAAACGATCGTGAACCTGTTGATTCTTAAACTTTTCTTCAAGTTGATAGGATGTAAAAGAAAATGATGAAAAGAAGAATGCGATTATACAAAAAAAAAAAAAAAGAAAAAAAAGAAAAAGAAAATAAATAAAGATTCATCGTTGAGAAGCGAGAATAACTGAATTACTTTACAACTTTATTATACGAAATATTTCTCGTAATAAATAGAAGAGAATCAATATCTAAAATTAATGAAAATTAATCGAAAGTGACAAAGCAAAAATGTCTGTAAATAAATGAAAGATTCGTCGTTGCAAAAAACGATGCTTTCTTTTTTTTTTTTTTTTTTTTTTTACAAGAACAATTAAATTATTATCTAAAATTTGTCATACAAAATAATTCTTATAAATTCAACAAAAGAAATCCATAAAAATTAATCAGAAAGAAACGTTTATATAATTAACGTAGATATATCGAAGATTAATCATTGAAAAAACGATTCTATTTTTTACAAAAAACAATTAAATTACTATCGAACTTGTCATACGAACTATTTCTTCTATTATAAAAGAAAGAAAAGAAAAGAAAAGAAAAGAAAAGAAAAGAAAAAAGAAAAAAGAAAAAAAAAAATAAAGGATAGAATTAATTTCCAATCCCATAAAAATAAATCGAAAGACATAAGACAAAATTATCGTGCATATATAAAAGGTTCGTCGTTGAAAAACAAAAAGGCTCTATTTTTTTACAAGAACAATTAAATTACTATCGAACTTGCCGAAGAAATTATTTCTTCTAATATCGAAAGAAAAAAAAAAAAAAAAAAAGAAAAAAAAAAAAAAAGAAAAAGAAAAAAAAAAAGAAAGAAAAGAGAGAGAGAGAAAAAAAGAATTAATTTTCAAAAATAAATCGAAAGACACAACGAACATTATCGTACGTATAAAAGATTATCTCTTAAAGAAAGATAATTTGTAAATCAACAATGAAACATAGGAAACAAATAATTTCTAATAATATCATAGAAAACGATTAATTTCCAATCATCATCAAAAATAAATCATATCAAACGTTAAATAATATATATATATAGTTACACGTATTTAAACACGTTGTTTAAATTTCATTCGACGAATTATGAACACAAAGAAGGATCAAGAAAAGACAGCAAATAGATTCTCCTTGTAGGCTGTATATTGCAAGAATGGTTGACGATGGTATAGAGCTGGTGGTAGTATATAGTGGTGATGGTGGTGGTGGTGGTGGTGAATCGTGAAAAGAGAAGGGATGAGACGGTGACGTTGGAAAAGCCCGAGGGAAATACGGAGATCCTCGCACAAGCGTCCCTTTGCTCCTGCTCATTTTTCCCTTTTATGCGTTCCATTCGTTCATGTCACTTCCTATGCTTGCACTCGCTTTGTGGTCGTGTATCTTTATACATATACACGATACACACACACACACACACAAACACATACACATGTATGTATACACACACGTATATATGTGTATGTGCGTACGGACAAAAATGGACAGTGTACATTGGTATGTACTTTTCTATCTTTTTCTTTTCCCTTCTTTCCTGTTAAAGTAAGAAAAGATGGTAGGCGAAAGAAGGCCGACTCCATTCTTAGAATATTTAGATGGGATGAAATATATTTTATTTAAAGGATCAAGAAGAAACAATACTTTACTTTGAAACTACGATGAGAAGGGGAAAAGAAAACAACTGTAAGAAAGTATTGAATTCTTGTCGAAAGTCTTGACAATGTTATGTTATGTTTATATACAAAGGAGACAATGTTTATATCTATCTCTCTTTGTCGTTATAATACGACGTTTCTTGATCGCGAATAAAATTTTCCATAGTAATTGTTTCAAAATAATACCTAAGATAATGTCCTTCGATAAGAGGAGAATTGAAACGACCTTTATACAATGGCAACAAAATAATGACGATCTTTTGAGGACGACGAGTCTATAAGACTCTCTCTCTTCTTTACATTCTTAGTCGATTCTCGTACGTTGAACGATGCACTAGTCCAGTTAATCTACTTAATTAAAAATAAACACTGACGTCGTTCATAGCAGAGAGAAATATCTCAGTCTGAACGTACCAAGTCTTTGTACGGTTTTCATAAAGCAAACGAAGTAATTCGAAATTCGTATTCCCCTTCGTATTACTAATAAGCTTATTTTCGAAAAACACGAAAAATATATAAGATCTACTATCTATGTATGTACATACATCTATTAGGATTTCTTTCTTATTAGATAAAATAACAATTTTTTTTCCTATATTTTTATAATATAGGAAATTATAATTTTTATAATATGTAATTTATATTATATTAATTTTTATAATATATACATATATATATATATATATGACATATCTTAAGTTATTTATTTATTATGATAATAATTATTTTCACTTTATTTAAATTTTTTCATAATATACAATTATTTAATATAATATGTGACATATCTTAAATTATTTATTTATTAGGAGAATAATTATTTTGTTTAAATATTTATATTTTATTATATAATTATATTTAAATTAAATATATATATATATATATATATATATATATATATATCATAAATCACATCAAATATTAAAAATATATATATATATATATTTTTTTTTTCTTTTCTATTCTCAATAAAATATCCAAAAGACATTTCAACGTCATAAAAATAAATCAGAAGAAATATTTAAAATTATACATCGTGCATAGATAAAAGATTAATCATTGAAAAAAAAAAACAATTTAATTTTTCTTTTCTTTTCTTTTCTTTTTTTTTTCGTATAAGAATAATTAAATCACTATCGAATTTGGTCACAAATAATTTCATTATTCAATAACTAAGAGAGATTATCACGTAGGATTTATTTTCTTTTAAATTCGCGGATAGCCAATAATAACAAATCTATCGAACGAGATAAACGATTTAACGAGCGAACGAATGAACGAACGAATGGCGGATGAGTTACAACGTATACATAAACTATATCAAACCATTTCCATTGGGTCCTTTATATCAGGCATTTGGTGGGTACTGCCTATGGTACTACATAGTATGTGCTCAGGCTTCCCACAAATCCGCAAATTGCTGGTCCTGACCCCCCTAATTAACGCATACTTCTCCACAATTTTCCAAAGAGAACAAACACATCGAGTACCAACCTCTTTCTCTTTAGTCCACTACTAATAGCCACTTCTCAACGTTACCAGCACACCTTTTCACTGGAGTTGTCTCCATTCGTTGTTTCAACCTCTCTGTAGTCACTTCTTCTTCATGTACTCTCGACAGAGTTTCCAACAAGTCGTTAGTTAGACCTAAATTAATCTAAGACTAAGGCTAGTTCTATTCCTTACTAGTGTTCCATCTACCAAGGGAAAACGTTCTCCATTCTACTACTAAAGCTTTAAATTTATCCTCTAACGAAGAGAAAACGAATGTAACGACGAAAAAGACGTAAAGTGGAAGAGTACGTGAACGAACAAACGAATTATATCGCAAATTACGTAATATCCTGGAAAAAAAAAGAAAAGAAAAAGAAAAAAAATCTTTGACCTAAGAACTCGTACTAATGTTTAACTCGTTGTCCTTTTTTTACTTTCTTTACTTTTTTCTCTTATTTTTCTTAAAGATCATCGAATGGAAAACAACGAGATAACATCCTTTTTTTTTTTTTTTTTTTTTTTATTTCTTTCTTTCTAGTTAAACTATCCACTATCTCGATTATTGCTTTCGATAAAATTCATTCACACACACACACACACACACACACACACACACACACACACACATATATATATATGTGTGTAAATAGATATATATATATATATATATATATATAAATACGTACATATTAATATATAACTAATAATTAAAATATAACTAATAAATACTACATATATTGTAGTATATGTAAATATATATAAAGTGATATATGACAGTCTTATTGTTTATAAATTAAATTATTGAGTAAATTATTGGTAATAAATATTTGTATATATACAAATATATATATATACATATGTAAATAAATAAATAAATATATATATATATAAATATATATATTCACTTGTATTTACATATATTGTAGTATTTATAAAGTAATATATGAGAGTTTTATTTTGATAATAAATTGAAAAGAATTGATCGAGGTATTTTATCTTATCTTTCAAAGCTAATTCGACGTATTAATTCTCAAATGATATTATCAAATATCAAAAGTAATTCGATAACGTTATTACTACTAATAATCTAAATAAATATTCTTAAACGAATATAGTAAACGTATTATATCAGTTGTTACGTTTTTTCTTTTTTTTTTTTTTTTTATTTTTATTGTTCTATTAATAATATTAAAAATTGAAATTCACTGATATACAGGATATTTCGTAAATCATTAATCTCTAATTATAATATATTATAATTCTTTGTTTCCTTCCTTTTCTTTTCCTTCTTTTTCTTTTCTTTTTCTTTTTTTTTTTTTTTGCTTTTTTCTTGTCTATCAAATATGTCACGATAATAAGATATCATAAACATTAATATAAATTTGTCAAATATTTTATAACGATTAATCGAGTTGATATTTCGAAAGAAAATGGTACGACACTTTCGTTATATTCTTTTAACAGTTCAGATACAATTATGAAAATGGGAGTTCCTTTATTACAATGATACGTCAAAGAAAATCCTTTTTGGACCTTCCAGTACCATTTTCCAAAGTCCAAATGTCTCTAAAAACAAACGTGAAAGAAAAGAAAGAGAAAGAAGAAGAAGAAGAAGAAGAAGAAGACGACGAAGAAGAAGAAAAGATCGAAAGAAATCGTCGTTGAATATCGTTTTACAAAATACGAAAGGTCAACCATCTACGGACTTTTTCCATCACTCGAATTGTATAAGAACCAACGTTAAGGCAAGAAAGAGAAAGAAAAGAAGAAACACAACAATCCTTGGGACATCGTATCGTTCGACTTTAACTCGAGCATGTTCGCAATCCGAGTCCCGAGCAAACGATAATTGACTTTGTTTCCAACTCGTTTCCCACTGTAGACTATCTTGCACCGAAAGTCATCCTGGAAAGTGCAAACCCAGTGTGTTCTTATACATCTACATCTACACAATCTAATGTTAGTTTTACGACTAGTAAAAAAGAAAAAAAAAGAAAAAGAAAAAAAAAAAGGAGAACAATAATAATAATAATAAAAATAATAATAATAATAATAATAATAATTCAAGAAAAAGATTAAAAGTAGGCAAAATGTTAGCTTTACGATTGGTAACAAAAAAACTAATAATAATTATAAAAAAAAAAAAAAAAAAGAAAAGAAAAGAAAAGGCGATAAGTAGACAAGATTTTAGCTTCACGACTGTTAAAGAAAGAAAAGGAAAAAAAAAAAAAAAAAGAAAAAAGAGGACGAAACGTTAGCTTTACATCTGTTAAAAAAAAAAAAAAATAAAAAGAAAACAAAAAAAGAATAAAAAAAGTACAAGAAAAAAAAAAAGAGAGAGCAAAAAAAAGTACAAGAAAGATATAAAAAAAAAAAAGTAAAGTGAAATGAGAATTCTATGCGAAGTCATCTGATAT